ATATCGATATTTTTGAGTCCATAAATAAGTTCTGCGCTAAAACTATGGGGTCACTTTATATGAGTTTTGGTCCATCACCGTTCCCACTTTTCAGTATAAACGATAATTCCCTCAACAAATTGGAGGGAGCGTTGTCCCCTCGGGAACCACTTTTGGAAAAAATACCTTAGTAGAAAAAAATGTTTTAGTTTCACCCTAAGAACACGCTTTTGCAGTATATGACGGTTCAAATANGGGGGGGGGGGGGGTCACGTAGTCCATACAAGAAGAAAGTCCCATTTTAACCCACAGAACACGCTCCCGTAGTCTGGCGGTTTAACTGCGAGTCAGGTTCACCCTGTTGAAAAGATTAGAACACAGCAGCTATATGGAGAGAAAATGGACTTGTCGATAATTTTAGAGAATAAGTCATGGAAGTTTTAGGACCGAAAAGGGTTGCCAACCTTTGTATCCAAATCGTCCAGACCAATTCCTTATTACAATCGTTACGACTTGTTCGTAAGGTATACATTTGAATCGGTTCTTGCATAAATCTACTCATTTTCTCTGAAAAATTCTCATTTTTAAACATTTTTTACCATTTTGCTAGAATCTGAGGATTGACAGCGGCATTTTTTTTAGGTTTTATTTTTTTTTTTTTTTTTTTTTTTTTTTTCATGTTGGAATGTTGGCTGCCCTTGTGGGTTCTAAGAGCTCCCTATTTCAACTTGACCTTACTCTCTCTCTGTAGGTCCCAAAGAAGATACCATTGCAGGAGCACTGAAACATTACAAGCGAATATTCGCGATCGGATATCATTCATCTAACGAATTGATCAGTGCTGAATGATGTCGATGATCGGTGAAAGCAGGAGCAAATTGGGTTTTTTTTTTTTTTTTTTTTTTTTTTTTTTTTTTTATGAAATGAAGAAGAAAATACGAAGCACTAAAACACAGCAAATTGCAAAAACAGACTTGAATTGAGAAAACCCAAAAACAGGAAGAAATGACGAAACGAACATTCTGGTGAAGGAAGAAGTTTCTGGCATCGATTGCATCAATTAATTCAAATATCGAATCCAAGTCCCGAGGTGAATTCGAAATTTCAAAATGGTGAATTTCAACGGTCTCCGGTGGGACCAACGAGGAAGTCGAATATCTTTAAAAAAAATGAACATTCGTCGAACATCATTCGACGGTGAATGATATTCGGTCGCGAAAATTCGCTCATCGATTCGATGGCGCTCCGTTCGGCAACATGAGTTCGGATGGTGGCGCCCCAGCCGTATGGCGGCCAACTTCAAAGCGCCGACTACAAAGCTCGACTCAAGGGCGCTCGAATCGAAACCCTTCATCTTGGGTTCCTCCCTGGTAAAACTGATGAAGAGTTGCAGAGCGCCTCTCGGCTGTCATATTCCATACCCGCACTCCAATCACCGCCTCCCTCCCCCCTCTCACCTCGCACTTGATGAAAAATGTCCCAGCGAAATAATAGAGAATCGGCAGTCATTTTCTTTTTCTTTCTTTCTTTTTTAAAAAAAAATTCTTTTTCTTTTTTTCTAATCGATTTCTGCACATACTCAGCTGTATTTTCAAACTAAAATGTTTGAAATCTGATCATTATTGAATACGCTATTCAGCGTTATGTGCCAGACCGAGTGATGCAACCCTCTCGTGTGTTCAAAACTTCAAACAGGTTTCTCTCAAAACTAGGTTTTTTGACCTTAAGCTACACTTTTCTCAGGATCTAATGGATGGATTATTTTCAAAAACTTTTTTTGGTATTTTCCATACCTTTTTGCAGAATCCGGACGAGAGGGTTGGTTCATGTCATTCTTCAAAAGAAAGAAAAAATGAGCTCTAAGGCCGAATTTGCTAATTTTTTTATATTTTTTAAACAGATTCATAAAATTTAAATTTTTAGAATTTTTCAAAATTGCCTCGTCAGAAGCTAGAATGAAGTCTGAGAAATCAAATAAAAAAAAGTTTTTGAAAATCCAGCCAGTAGGACCTGAGATAAAAGTGCCCTAGCGTCAGTTTAGTTCGCATGGTTAAGATAGGGACTGCCGACTCCCCTGAATAGGGTCGTTCCGCAAACAGCTTTTTGCCTTAGGGGACCCCATATGGTTTAAATTATGATTACGGGAGGGTAATAGAGATTCTTCATACAGCATCATACTATTTTTGCAAACCTTGAGCAAAATTCATGATTTGCCACTGCAAAAAATTCCAAAACATGGAAGAAATATTTCTTCGCTTTTGACAAACCTTTAAGGTAGGTGCGAACTTACCCTAAAATTTACAAAAGCCGCAAAATATTTTCCTCCGTATTTTGTATGTTTTTGGCCGTGGCGAATCTTTCCATTTCCAGAGTCAGACTTCCGAATTTTACCTGAGGTTTCCACAAATCGTGCTGTTTAATGATGCTGTGTCACGGATCTCCTTGACCCTCCGTTATTCACAATGCATAGCAAATGGGGTCTCCTAAGGGTGGAAGTTGGTGAAGGATCGACCACGCAGTAAGAAAAAGTAACCAGAATTATGTGTCAATATGAGAAGTAAAACTCGAAGTAACACGAGCTTTTCGTTAATTTTTTCGTGTTAGTTTTCCTCGTGCCAAACCGACCGATCTTCGGGTTGAAGTGTGAATCTTTTCGGGGTGAATTTTTTTGTTGAATATCCGCGATCGTGTTAAGGTGATTCGATGGACGCCATATTTTGTGTCAGAACGGCATGCGATATATCGCATCAATTGGTTCCAGTTTTTCAGCTACTCGTCATTTTTCTCGAATTTTGAGATCGCAATTCTGTTGTCAGGAGACTAAAGAACTCACCAATTTCAACAAAGAAATTCAACGTAATAAAGGCGTGGTTTTTTCAGAGAGAAAACATCGCATTCGAGTGCAGTTTCGATATCAGTATCGAATGCGATGTTTTCTCTCTGAAAAAACCACGCCTTTGTTACGTTGAATTTCGTTGTGAAAATTGGTAAGTGAGTGCTTTAGTCTCCTGACATCAGAATTGCGATCTCAAAATTGGAGAAAAATGACGAGTAGCTGAAAAAATGGAACCAATTGATGCGACATATCGCATGCCGTTCTGACACAAAATATGGCATCCTTCGAATCACCTTAAAAGCTATTCGCTAGCCGCTCGCAAGGCTCAACTTCTAAGGATGGGGAGGAAAAAGTTCCGCAGGACACTTTCACCCATTGGCGTGGCTTGCTTTGCGATGTATCGATTGCTCTGCCATTTGAACCAATGGAAAAGGATCGATAAACACGGTGTTCGCAACCAACACCTCATTAATCGATTCCTTACCACAGCTTCAAATGGGGAAATATCGATAATCGATCATTTACGCCTCCCCACCGCTTTCGAGATGTCTCGGACGGTGGCGTGGCGTGAATGATCGATTAGCGATTTTTCCCCATTAGAAGCTATGATAAGGAATCGATAAGGTGTTCGTCGTAAACACCCTGTTTATCGATCTCCTCCCATTAGTTTTAATGCCAGATCATCGATATATCGCAAGCACGCCACGCTACTGATCTCGGAGTAACTTACGGTTCGGGGCCAATTTAACACAGAATTGTGTTGAGCATCGGGCAAGCAAATCCTATGAGTTAATGTGATCCAATAACAAGATCTTAGGTTTGGGTCCGACGCCATGGGAGAATGCAAGAAAATACACAAATAAATTAAAAGTAACGCCGAAAAGTAATAAACACGGCAATTTTTTAAATATACGTCCCCAAATTCATTGTCATTGTCGCTCCTTAACCAGCTTCTGTCTGGCGAGAAGTCGTTTACGGTTTTCGTCGTAATTATATAACAGGAGATCCTCAACACACTATCACAAGAAGAACAGTGTTCAAGCGCCTTGGGTAAAAGTCAAGAGCAAATCCTTGGGAATAAATCTTTGCGAGGGATTACAATGGTTTATCACTGCAATGCACACAAAAAAAAAAAAAAACCCGCAAAATCCAAGATAGTAAATTACATACTTTTCACTGACAGGAACGTTTAAATGCATTACAATGCGCAAAATTCGCGATACATTTTCTGCTGGTCATTTCCGGGACGAAGGAACTTAACTTCACACCAGGGTTGCCAAATGGACTCAAGCAAGTCAATTTTTGCAAGAATGCACTCGGAAATTGATTCTGCACAATGTGGCTGATTTTTGTAAGAGATGAGAAGAAAAATCAGTGGAGTTTTTAGAAAAAAAATACCGAGGATGCTCCTGGTGAAAACGCAATGTGCGAGGGGAAATTTGGCAACTTCGAAATTTAGTTACGTCCTTTCGAAACGAAAGAACGTAACGTAACCCTTCTCGGGTTCTATTTTCAAATTTTACCGTCGCACTGTCCAAGTTTATTCGAGACTTTCGAATTTCACGTCTTGAGGATAATGGCTGTTTAAGGAGCAACCGTGTCTGAAGTCGGAGCAGTTATCTCTATAGTTAGAGCGGTTATCTCTGTAGTCAGAAGTGTCATGTTTATCGTCGGAGCGACTATGTCTATTTTCTCCTCAGCCACCTCATTTCCTCTGGATTACGTGAGTACATTGTTTGTAATCTAAAAACAAATCTCGGGAAGTTTCAAGGCATCGCGTTGCCTGGTCTTCAAGCCAAAAAATGATGCATTTGGACGTATAAAAAAATTAAGGAAAGTGAAATGGACGTATTTCTACCAAACGGAACTATATGCATTATGACGTGAGCCCTGTCATGCGTATAATCTGATGGGTCTCAGGGCTCATGTTTTAATGCACATAGTTCCGTTCGTTAGAAATACGTCCAAATGCACTTAGGCTGGCTCGAGTTGAATCCTTGTAAGTGAAAGTGCGGTCCTTTTTATTCAAAACCGCGCTCGATATTGCAGTGTAATTTACCACGGGGTCTCCTTCCTCAGTACAACGAGCTCTTAAACTAAAAATATTCACTTCAAAAATAATGCATTTTATTCAGATTATTTAAAAACCTGTGCATTTATAGAATTATCTTTCCATTTGTTTTCAGTGTAATAATCCGTGACCCGTGACGACACCGAGTTGGATCTATAGTGCGCATCACCAACAACGTAATCCACATGGCAGGTAAAAGAGTTCCTTCAAAATCGAAACCCCTGCCCGAAGTTGACAGAATACGGAGAAAAAGTGACACCATGAGCGGAACAGATTCAAGCGAGGGATCACATATCGGATCAGCGGATCCGCTGGTAAAGTTGGATAGGTGTTTAGATCGGTCTCCTGATGAGTTGGACAGTTATACTGGAGCAGGACGATCTCAACCTGAGCCTGTCGTTATGTTGCACCGAATAAAAGAGGAACCTGCGGAAAGTATCCGTGAAGATCCAGCGCATACATTACACACATTAATAACTAAGGTCGAACATGGAGAACCTACACCGTCACTGGATGAAGGAAAGGAAGAAGGAGAAGATATAGAAGGTACAGAAGGGCGCATAAGTGAACATCTACCACAGTCGCCCCACATATCTGCTCAAATCGAAAATGAAGAACTTTCACTATTCATAAAATCTGAAAACGTGTCAAACAGTCCTCGCGTCACAGAAAGCTTAGTTCCGTTGGTGCCTAAATTAGAGAGATTCTGCGCTCCAGACTTGAGGACTCAATCCGGCAATTTTGTCAGAACTTCAAACGATTCCCAACTAATAAAATTGCAGAACGTTTCTGTGAGAATCGAAGATCTCTTCACTGCAGAAGCTCGTAAGCTGGGAAACGCTCATACAAACAGTGTCCGTTGTGCCTGTAAATATTGTCGCAAAACCAGCGAAAGTGCCCCTGCCGGAAGATGCCAACCGAAAGATTCGGAGGAAAAAGGACCAGTCGAACACAACGAGTCAGCTCTCAGTTTTCAGAATGTTTCCGAAAGAAAAGTTTCGGGGTCCCTGCCGCACGAAAATTCAATCATTTCTGAATCCGAGATTGGTTCGGGAGATTCTGCAGTGGCTTCTAGGGCAAAAAAACTGCCTGTTTGGGGTGAGGCTCCTGCAAAATCACCTACCTTAACATCGAACGACGAAAAACGACAAAAATTTAACGATGGTTCTACCACATCGGAAAGAGGTTCCCAGTCAATACTCAGAACTAACGGTCATTGTAAATCTAAATTATCTTCTAAAACGAAAGATACATCGAAAGGAAAAATACCAGTGCTTCGTGATGGACGACCGTTTCGTTGCAAGGATTGTGATTTATCTTTTAAGAGGGAAGCTTATTTAAAATCACACATGTCAGTGCACAGTGATGAAAAACCGTTCCGTTGCAGTATTTGTAATTTATCTTTTAAGAGGAAAGGTGATTTAAAATCACATATTCTAACCCACAGTGAGGAAAGACCATTCCGTTGCAGTATTTGTAATTTATCTTTTAAGAGGAAAGGTGATTTAAGATCACATATTCTAATCCACAGTGAGGAAAGACCATTCCGTTGCAGTGAATGTAGTTTATCTTTTAAGAGGGAACCTAATTTAAGAGCACACGCTCTTATCCACAGTGACAAAAGATCGTTCTGTTGCAACGATTGTAATTTATGTTTTAAGAGGAAACATAGTCTAAGAATGCATGTTCTAATCCACAGTGACAAAAGACCGTTCCGTTGCAGTGAATGTATTTCAGCTTTTAAGAGGGAAGATGATTTAAAAAAACACATGTCCGTGCACAGTGATGAAAAACCGTTCCGTTGCAGTATTTGTAATTTATCTTTTAAGAGGAAAGGTGATTTAAGATCACATATTCTAATCCACAGTGAGGAAAGACCATTCCGTTGCAATGTTTGTAATTTGTCTTTTAAGATGAAATATAATTTAAGAGCACACGCTCTTATCCACAGTGACAAAAGATCGTTCTGTTGCAACGATTGTAATTTATGTTTTAAGAGGAAACATAGTCTAAGAATGCATGTTTTAATCCACAGTGACAAAAGACCGTTCCGTTGCAGTGAATGTACTTTAACTTTTAAGAGGGAAGATGATTTAAAAAAACACATGTCCGTGCACAGTGATGAAAAACCGTTCCGTTGCAGTATTTGTAATTTATCTTTTAAGAGGAAAGGTGATTTAAGATCACATATTCTAATCCACAGTGAGGAAAGACCATTCCGTTGCAATGTTTGTAATTTGTCTTTTAAGATGAAATATAATTTAAGAGCACACGCTCTTATCCACAGTGACAAAAGACCGTTCTGTTGCAACGATTGTAATTCATGTTTTAAGAGGAAACGTGGTTTAAGAATTCATGTTCTAATCCACAGTGACAAAAGACCGTTCCGTTGCAGTGAATGTACTTTATCTTTTAAGTGGAAAAATGATTTAAAAAAACACATGTCTGTGCACAGTGATGAAAAAGCGGTCCGTTGCAATGTCTGTAATTTGTCTTTTAAGAGGAAAGGTATTTTAAAATCACACATGTTAGTGCACAGTGATGGAAAACCGTTCCGTTGCAATGTTTGTAATTTGTCTTTTAAGAGGAAAGATAATTTAAGAGCACACGCTCTTATCCACAGTGACAAAAGACCGTTCTGTTGCAACGATTGTAATTCATGTTTTAAGAGGAAACATGATTTAAGATCACATGTTCTAATCCACAGTGACAAAAGACCGTTCCGTTGCAGTGAATGTACTTTATCTTTTAAGTGGAAAAATGATTTAAAAAAACACATGTCTGTGCACAGTGATGAAAAATCCGTTCCGTTGCAATGTTTGTAATTTGGCTTTTAAGAGGAAAGATCATTTAAGAAAACACGCTCTTATTCACAGTGACAAATGACCGTTCTGTCGCAACGATTGTAATTTATGTTTTAAGAGGAAACATGGTTTAAGAATGCATGTTCTAATCCACGGTGACAAAATACCGTTCCGTTGCAGTGAATGTACTCTATCTTTTAAGAGGGAAGATGATTTAAAAAAACACATGTCTGTGCACAGTGATGAAAAATTGGTCCGTTGCAATGTTTGTAATTTGTCTTTTAAGAGGAAAGATCATTTAAGAAAACACGCTCTTATTCACAGTGACAAATGACCGTTCTGTTGCAACGATTGTAATTTATGTTTTAAGAGGAAACATAGTTTAAGAATGCATGTTCTAATCCACAGTAGCGAAAAACCGTTCCGTTGCAATGCTTGTAATTCATGTTTTAAGAGGGAACATGATTTTAAAACTTATGTTCTAATTCACAGTCGTGAAAGGCCGATCCATTGCAGTGAGTGCAGCTTATGTTTTAAGATGAAAAATACATAAATGAAATTCTCCCAAATGCACGACGCAGAACCGTTTAGTTGCAATCGCTGTAATGGGTCAGTTGCGCTGGTCACAGAATTGAGTTTTGGTGCTAGATTCTAGTAGATTGGCTAAAAATATTAAGATCTGTCCAAACCGCAACTCTCTACGTTCAATATTAACCGAGATATCGCTCTCTGAAAAGTTTGGTTTCAGACGTTATCCACCGCGGTAGTAACACCCTTGGTTTCTTCCGCCTCGCTTTCATCCACGTTTCACGCAGAGTAACCAGTGCCAATGTGTGTCACCCTGACTGATAAAACCAAGGTGGAGGAAACCAAGGATGTTACTACCGCGGTGGAAGACGTCGAAAACCTGACTTTTCAAAGGGCAGTATCTCGATTAATATTGAACGTAGACGGTTGCGGTTTAGACTGATCGTAATATTTTTAGATAATCCACTAGAATCAAGCATCAAAACACTATTCTGCGACCAGCGCAACTGACCCATTTACAGTTTACTATTATCAAATACGAGTATAAATTGGAAGGTCACATGTACTGCGTTTTGCAATGAGGAACTACAATTCCTGGCTCATTCGTAGAAACGCTTTTTTTATATATAGGGAAACTGGACTCCATTTTTCAATTTGGAACTATAATTTCTGGCTCATCTGCAAAAAAACTTATGTGCTAAGGGAAACTAATGGTACATACGCTGTTTCTAAACTGGCCAAGGAATTATAGTTCCCAATTGCAAAATGTAGTCCAACAAATGATACGTAAATTTTTTTCTAAACTGAGCCAGAAGTTGTAGTTCCAAATTGCAAAATGTAGTCCACATCACAGTGTACGTTCTCTGTAAATCGTTTACTTGCGGTGACTGTAATATTGGACTTTATTTTGGAATCAAGAACTACAATTTCTGGCTCATTCATAAAGACACGTAAGTACTTGCATTTCATAACGAATGGTACATACCCTGTTTCTAAACGGTGCTAGAGATTGTAGTTCCTAAGTGCAAAATGTAGTGTGATTCAAGTTTAAAGAGAAAAAATGAAATAAGAGCAGGTCACATGTTCGTGCACAGTATTGAAATACCTTCTAATTACAATTATTGCAATTCATTATTTTAGACTAGAAGTATTTTTAAAAGACATTCCTCTCAGTCGCATATTGATATGAACAAAAATTTTTCACAAATAATTTATGTCAGCTGATAACCTAGTACTTCGGTTCCAAGTATTACAATGAAGCGCATAATCTAACGGAAAGGGAACGCTATATTTACACAGTATATCTGAGTTTCTTGACAATGTTTCAGTGCCCCAGAGATGAACGGTATCAGTATTCGGACAATATTTTGCAATAGGGAACTAAAATTTTTGCCTCAGTTTAGAAACAACGCATGTATCATTAGTTTCCCTGTGGACATAAGCGTGTTTACGGATGAGCCAGAAATTGTAGTTCCTAATTGCAAAATGACGTTCAGAGTGTGGCGGCGCGGCACTCGCACTCAGCAGTGCGCGTGGCGTGCTGACGCGCCCGCTCGACGCAATTCCGACTTCGGCCGCTAGTTGCAGTGCGATCGCTCGGTTCCCTATCTCAAAGCTGTGCAAACCAGCCTGGTGGGGAGTCGGCGATCGACTATAAATAGTGGCCGGAGCATAGGCCGGGCACCAGTATTTGATCAAGATTCGTAGAAGACCAACCAGTCCCAGTCGTCGGCTCGTCCCGTAAGCACGAGGGCTATGGCCCGAACCTCCGCGGCACAGACCCGCACTACAATCACGCCCCGGACGCGTACACCAAACTCGGCTCAGACCCGAACCCCAAACTCGGCTCAGACCCGAACCCCAAACTCGGCTCAGACCCGAACCCCCCCCCCTCCCCATCTCATAGCCTCTCTCAGACCTTAAGCCTGTTCATATATATGTACATGTGAAGCTAATAATTGAGAAAGTATAAATAAATATGTGTCATCTAGCCCTCATAGTTCCTCCTTCATCAACAACCAAAAACCACCCTCCTTACATTGGTGGAGGCGCAACGATCCCGGACCACACAACAACATCTCTACCAGGCTCTACCCCCCAGCACCAAGTCATCTTGAAGGATCCAGCACCAGTGCCAAAATTGAAAGTTCTTTTTTAAGGTTGATTGCTTCTTTTTTTTAACTAGAGCGTAGCGCTCCTGTCATAGCGCATATCCGCTCTCGGTCTGCTCGCGCCATTGTCACGGCGTTACCCCTGGCCATTGTCACGGCCGTTAAGAGCGGCCGATACTTCAGCAGCTCCGCCATTGTCACGGCGTATCGAGCTAATTTTTTTTCTGCTTTTGCCCCCCCCTTTTTTAGAGCGTCGCGCTCCTGTCATAGCGCATATCCGCTCTCGGTCTGCTCGCGCCATTGTCACGGCGTTACCCCTGGCCATTGTCACGGCCGTTAAGAGCGACCGATACCTCAGCAGCTCCGCCATTGTCACGGCGTACTGAGCTAAGAAACATAATTTTTTTATTATTTTTTTCCTTAGAGCGTAGCGCTTTTGTCATAGCGCAAATCCGCTCTCAGTAGCTCGCGCCATTGTCACGGCGTTACCCCTGGCTATTGTCGCAGCCGTTAAGAGCACTGATAACAAAACAGCTCCGCTATTGTCACAGCGTATTGAGCTACATTTTTTTTTGCTTTTGCAACGGGGCAGCTCCCGCTTAGCGGTAACGTAGCGCCCCCCTTTTTTTTCTATTTTTTTCCCCCCCCCCTCTTTTTCTCAACCTTAAAAACGACGACATGGCACAAGAAGTCAGCTACATCACAACAAAGGTGAAGGACAAAAACTTCAAGATAAAAGCAGACAACTATGCTGAGCTAATACTACAGAAGAAAATGGATGACCCGGAAACGAAAACAAAGAAGACAATAATGACACATGAGCTATTGCAGCGACTCACCGAAATTCCCTCAACTGAAATAAGGGCTTACCTACAGGAAAAGCTTTACTTAACCTTGCCAGAGGGGCCAATGTATCATTCCAGCACAACTCCTCTTCTTGATGTGCCCCTTAAAATAACAACCTACGACAAAAACCCAACACCGATAGAAAATTCTGATCAAGAATATTATCGCAATATACCGAAATACAACAAGGCACGATTAATCATGGAATTCGGCAGCAGAGGCATCCCATATAACTACACTAGCTTAAAAAAAGCCAGAGCAGATCTGAAGGCATTGGTAATTAAAGAATTTGAAGAACGACAAATCCCAATATTATCGCTGGAATTAGGATCAGAGGACGCTCAATCTACTGCCGATGACGAAACAACGGATGAGAATTCAAGAAACCACTCTACACAATACAAACCGGCCCCATACTCCGCAACCGCTCCACCGCAAGGAGAGCAGTCACATTTCACTCAACACCCTAAGCCCCACGACTCGGAGCTAATATTCAACTCAAGTGCGTGGCCTCTGTCACAAACACAGCCAGTCAACTCAGTCTTCAACGATGTAAGAAGGCACCACGAAACCAAGAAGACACCATCACCCAATCCACCAGTATTGTATCCACAGTTGCCATATTGCCTCCCTAATAACGGAGACCCATACCAATACGATTACAAATCCAGATCAAAACGCCCGCTATTCGAACCAGAAAAATTCTCAGGCCTCCCAACCGAAGACATCCACATTTTCATAAACAGCTATAAAAAAGCAGCAAGAGTAAACAACTGGACAGAGCAAGAAAAAATCGACCTGTTAGAGAATTATTTGAAAGGTACAGCCCAAAAATTCATCAAATCACTGGAAGAAAATCATCCAGTGGGACTCACCTTCAACAGAGCCATCGATGAACTCATCAAATTATTCTCACCACTTCAAAGGCAAACCAGATTAGAAGTTGAATTTCAAAACACAACACAAGGAATAAACCAGACAATCGAAGATTTCATCATTTCAGTCGAATCTTTGGCAAAAAAATGCGATCCACTGATGCCAGAGAAGAAAATTGTCACCCAATGCTTAAAAGGCATGAGAAAAGACATAGCCTCTGACCTCCTACTGAAGCCAATGAACACAATGGCAGATGTCAGAGAAGGAATCCGACTCCTTGAGAATAGGCAATTTCTCTTAAATCAAGGAGCCACCTTGCCTACCCAGCCCAGCAAAAATGAAGAACAATTGGTAACTCTCGTCCAGAGTGTGCAAGACCACCTAAAAAATCTGACGACTTCCCTGGCTCAACAAGGCAACGCCTTGCCTATCAATGCAGTCCTGGACCAATATTTTGCATCCAGACCCTCAAGACGCACCGAAGAATATACACCGGAAAGAGGACGCCGATACAGCACTCCCTCACCCCGCCGACCTGATAAACCCGAAAACACTAATAGACGATCAGGCGACCGACACACCAGCTATCCTCGTTCTCCGTCCAGGGATGACAGATCGGGCAGAAATTACTCACCATACAAAAATCGTGAAAATCGTGGAAACTCTCCTTACTCATCAAATCGAAGAAATCAACATTCAGCAACGCCAAGATCACCTTCTTACGACAGGAGAGACCGCCCCAGAGAACGCAGCACTGAAAACCGCAGATGGAATAATCTCAACAGAGACCGCTCGTTCGAAGGATCCAGGGAGGCACCAAACTACTACAGGAATCGCTCCCAGGAGAGGCAAAATACTGATCAAAGAGACACTAATCAGCAAACAACCAGATCACCATCCAGAGAAAGAATCATCTGCTGGAACTGCAGGGGCTTTAATCACTACAGCACACAATGTCCCTCACCCCGACCACCAACGCCTCACCCAAACTAGAACCTACCCACTTGCCAAAAGGGCCTTACAATTGGGTAGACAGGGAACTAAGGCCCACAAAGCAAAAACTCACCGAAGAAACAGCAAATGTATCAAAACAAAAGGCACGGCAAATCTCCTTTGCGGAACCACCTTCACTCTCAATATCATCAACACTCGAAAATAGCATTCAAAAGCCTCAAAACCCCACGGAACCAGGTTTAAGGATTTCAGTGACCTTGCCAAACAAAGAAATCCTTGGAATGTTTGACACAGGGGCAGATGTTTCCCTCATCCGCAAAGACCAAATAAATCCACACAAAATTGAAGGAATCAGAGGAATACCTCTAATCACAGCAAACCAGAGTCCCTTAGAAATTTCAGGCACAATACCACTGAAATTTCAAATTGGACCAGCAACCTTCTCTTACCGCCTTCTAGTGACAAATAAACTGAGCGTACCCATGATATTGGGAAACGACTTTATTTACAAATATGTCACTAGCTTTAATCACCAAGAAAATTATGCCATCATGATGAACCCAGAAAATAATGAGCCTTTCAAAGTAACCATTCGGGGATCAATATGTCCCATCGCCAAAACAATACAATCTGGCAACGTCATGCCAGAATCATTCGAAATTGACAACAGCAAGTACCTCACCACCACGGTCACCAACACACCTAATGCAGAAACCTCGGAGCATAATCAAAACTTACAAAAATATCCGGACATATTCGCTGAATATCCCATAATTGATGACGACTTGGCAACAACATGGGCTAAGGCTCTTCATCTCACTTTTCTCACTCCACACTCATCAAAAATGGTACCAGTAACTTGGACCACGAGACCCACTTCAGAACCACGCATG